GACTCTCTAACAGTATTTGCCTTTTACTATTTGTTTACTTATTTGTTTATTTATTTATTTTATTTATTTATATATTTTCATTTTTTTATTTATTTAATGAATTAGATTATTTATTTGAATTTATTTTTATTTTATTTAATTTAATTTTAATTCAACATAATTTATTTAATTTTTATTTTATTCATTTATTTTTATTCATTCATTAATTTTTTTATTTATTTATCAACCTATTTATTTATTTTTAATAATTTTTTATTCAATTTAATTTAATTTAATTTAACCAAATTAATTTATTTATTTAAATTTATTGTATATTTTTTAATTAAATTTTAATTAATTTTAATTTAATTTAAATTTAACGTTAATTTATTTATTTTAAGCTATGTTTTTATGTTATTTAAGTTTAACTCAATTTTTATTTAATTTTTATTTTTTTATTTTAAAAGCACATATTCTCTTAAGAGGATTTTATAACGCCTGAGGAATTTTTCAAGGCAAGTTCTGCTTCACCTTCATAAATATTTTAAAATTTTAAGTTAAGGAGAACGCGAGTTCCGTTGTTCAGTTTTATCTGGAATGAACCATGACGTTTCAAGAATTGAAAAAATGTTTTCAAAATATCAAAATGCAAACAGATTATTGCTGGATGTCTTTTCCACTGAGTAATTTTTTGTATTTTGTATTTTAATACATTGAAAATATTTTATTTGCGCTTTAAGTTTATTAGCTTTAATAGCAACAGTTTATTAGCATTTTATGTCATGTTTTATTCTAGGTTTATCTGAACTCACCTTTCACTAAACTTCAAATTTTAAAATACCATTGGAGGTGAAACATAATTTGCCATGAAAAAATTCTCCCGCGATATAACGTGTTCTTAAAGGAGAGAAGAATTCCTTATTAAAATGAATGTAAATAAAAGGAATAATTAAAAAGACAAATTATAATGATAATAATAAATCATACATACATATTTCTCTTCACTCTGAATTGTAACATGGGGCTCATATCATAGCTTTCCATTTAACTCTATTTGAAACCAGATATAGTTCGTCTATAGAAAAAACTCCCCTCTCCACAAAGTCTGCGGTCATCTGCCGCTATGCAAGCAAGAAACATCTCATAAGGGGGAGCTTCTCTTTCCCATGATTCCTTTTCTCCCTCTGACTCGAGCTAAGACCTGTCTTAAATATTTACCTAACACCCCTACTTGAAATAGTTAAGCCTCGTAACCATAGTCACCGCCACTGTTCCAGACGAATATCGAGGGGAATTCTTTCCATAGACAGACTGTATTTTGATTCTCTTCAGGTCTTTCATATTGTTTTTCAATTCATTTACATTGGTACTGAGACAAATATTTTTGGTTCTTTCTCTTTTTCTTTTGCCTTTGGGTTCCAATCAAAAACTTTTTTTACTATAAATCTTTCAGGTTTACGTAGAACACAACCAATCCATTTACGTTTTTTTTTTTTTCTTTCTTTTTTTTTTTTTTGAAGTTAGAAATAATAATTTTTCTACATTTATATTTTTTTNTTTTTTTTTTTCTTAAATTTCCAGATCAATCGGTTTCTTTTTTACTTTTCTAAGGATTTCTGCATTACAAATTTTATGGAATCACTTGATACGCTGGATTCTTTTTAAACAGTTGTTATTAATTATTATTCTTATTCATATTATTTTTATTCATATTATTTTTATTGCAATGCCATGTCTCAGATCCATCGAGTAGGACATTAGCATTGAAAAATCTATAATTTTTGTTGAATTGGTTATTTTTGTTAATAATAAATCGACTGCATTGAAAATTTTCAGTTTTGATTAAAATTAATTAAAATAAATCCAAGGCAAAATTTTATCGACGAAATTCGATGACAAATAATAAGTGAACACGAAATGTAGTTAAGTGAAAGCAAATTACTTTTCTTTCTGAAACATTAACACTAAAATCTGATAAAAGACATTTATTTCTGGAAACACTATCACCATTATTTCACTCGGTCGATTTTGATATTCCGAAAAATCGTATCGATAAAAATATTTTTGTTCTTAAAAACTTCTATTTTAAGCAACGAACGCCAAATGAATGCCATATATTTTACTCTTATCTCCATTTTCTCACCAAATTTAAAACGCTTGAAACAACGAGACACCTATTTATCTTATTAATCATTCAATGCCTTTTCTAGACTTTCTAACGGTATTGTCTTCTTTTTTGGCTTACTGATGCCCACGAAGTTTTCAACCTTGGACGATCAATTTTTGAAAATTGGATGATCGCCCACGAAGTGTCCTTTTGACTTGACTTGCTTTTGTGTCTTGATGTCAGAAAGTGATTTTATTGTTATATTCTGTCTTCACTATCGTTAACTTTCCTACTCTTTAGTGATTTGCCACTTCTGGGCTAATAAGCTTAACTCTTTGTTTTGTTTTCGATTTTGCCAAACAAATTAGTATTTCCGTTCATTCCTCATTTTCGCAATGGAAAAAATTTTTTGTAGAAGCACAAAACTTGCTGGTCTTAAAACAACAAAAAAAATCAGTTATAAGGAAATAATTATTAAAATACGATAGCGGATATAGTACTCTGTTACTCACAATTGTGTAGCCTTGTCAAAAAATGGTATAAAAGAAAGCACGTTCGGGAATAGGAACACATGGGGCGGGATAGCCTAGTTGGCAGGGTCCTGGACTTTCGTGCGTAAGAACGGGAGTTCGAATCCAGCCGGCCAAAGACTCCCCGTGTAGTAAATGTTACGTTACGTTAAATCTATCATGTCGCAAAGTCCTCCCTGCTTCCATAATAAATTAAACCTCTGGGGGTACTGAGTTGGAGATTAGTCTTGCTCTGGTTCAGGTCAAAATTACGATCCGATCACGAATGAATGAATATATGAATGGATCTACCCTATAAATGGGTGTGGCAGAAGTCGAATTCTTAGTCATAGATGGCGCCACCGGAAAACGAGAACAGCCTCCCTGCCTTAATGGCTGACGACAACAACAACAATAGGAACACATTAGGCACCATCTTCCGAAACTAGCACTCGATCTTAAGTAATCTTTTATATAGAAAACTTGAAATTTTGAAGGCTGCATGTCAGTTAAATAAACAGTTTGAAAAAAGAAACAAATGTAATTAAATGCTTTTTTTCCTCTTTCTAGAACATCAAAAGAAATTTTCTGTTTTTCTTACATGATTTTTTTTTTTACTATTCCTATTCAAATGTAATTTACTCAACGATCACTTTTCGAACCACGTAAATCATAAATCGCAATAAAAATCTATGTGATTTTTATTGATACAAATGAAAGATTATTAAGATTTTCCGCTTGTTCCTGTCTCTCAACCTGTTGATTTAACTATCTTACTTCACTTTCATTCAATACCTCTTTTGTACAAACAGAATGAATAACTCTTTCAATTCTTTTCAAAGATAGCCAATCCTTATTTCTTGTTTTCATCTCTCAAGCATCGGTTAGCAGGATTGTTATTCGAATAAGTACAATGAACCGGTAGTATAGATAACACATAACGAAAATTAATTTGTAGGAAATCATTACTTATTGTGAGAAGATGTCATTATTTCCCGAAACATAACATAGAATGTATGTTTGTGACGATAAACAATTTTCATTCCGTTTGCTTCTTTTTGATTATTAATAATTTTGACTCAAGTGGCTTGTTTATAGCGGTTCCGTGTGTACATATGTGATAATTTACTTGATTACGGCGGTAAATTAGATTCCGACTGCTTGTTCGTTGCACTTGCGTCAATTTACTTGATTGCGGCAATAAATAAGATTCATACTTCTTGATTATGACGAGATTATTAATAATTTTGATTTAGATAGCTTCATTACGACAATTAATTTTAACTCAGACTGCTTGCTCATTACTCTTGATGATTCTTAATGAAGTGAGTGGGTTTAAGGAGGAAAGCGAATCTGCAGGATCTGAGAATCAGAGTGAATCTGCCAATTGGTGTACAAGGGACTCAGTGAATCAACCCATTTTCGAATCAGTGAATCGGCATATTAGTAAATGAGCGAACCAATGAATAGCATCAATTAATATTTGTTCTTCGTTGATGTGATTTAACGTATGTCATTTACTTTTTTCATTGTGATCCTTTATTAGTTTAATTAGTTTACTGAATGTTGATATAATCTATGAAATGTTGATATAGCAGGGAAATCAGGTTTAGAGAAGAGTTGAACCAGTACGCAAACAAATTTGTACAAGAGGGACCAATTTGTAACTAATTATATGAGCTTATAAACCTTCAATTTGCGCTAAAGAGAAAACGATCACTTTTTAAAAAAAATCAAACTAAACTAAACTCAGCGGCGCGACAGAAATTATGTTTTCTAAAATCTAATAAAGTTTATTAATTGCTTCAATTTCAGATTTTATTCCTAATTTCTGGTTTCTAAATGCTAAATTTTATAGATTTTTTCCCCAGGTTTAGTTACATTTTAAGACTAATTACAACAGAAAGGTCAATGAAACTTATAATATTTAGCAATAAGGATAATTTTTTTTTCTCTATTTAGTGTTGACTATTGTTCAATACTTTCTCAATTACCATATTTTCGACCGCGAAGTTACTTTCTTTGATTGCTCTCCAGCCTCCCCCCCCCCCAANGCCTCCCCCGCTCCAAAAAAAAAATTCAATAATTTTTTCAGCATATTCAAGAAGTTTAAAAATTACCAGTGGTTTATTCCATTAAATCATTTTCAAAATCATCGCAAAATGAACGGCTTGCTCATTTTATTTTTTCACAACTTAGGTTTTATTTCTTTCGCTTCAGTAAACATTTATTACAACTCACTAAATTGAAAAAACCGTTTCGACGAAACAATACCAAAACAAAGACAAATCGAACGTTACCTAAGAGCACTCACACAGGATTATAGAAGTTTTTTTTTTTATTTTTTTATCCTCAACTCATAAGAACGTAACCTTTAAAAAAGAAACGAAAAGAAAAATCGAACAAAAAAAGATGGAACTTTAGAAGATTTCGAACAGTTGTTAGATGAATTGAAGATGTTCCCCCAGGCGGAAGCGATTAACCACCCACCGCTTTCTCCGGACCAGTCTGCGGGGGAAGGTCAGTTTTCGAACGTTTTCAATCGTAAAGTCCTCTTCATTTTAGTTGCCACCTGTTTGCCACACCTGTCGCATGGACTAGCCTCATCCTCGTGTTGAGCGTGCTTTTCATCACATGTGCTTAACATTACGTCACGTGTGCTAAAAACAGGCCGCTATGCATTTTTTGTGATTGATTGTTTAGCGGTAAGAATATGTTTTTTTTTCCTTTTTTTTATATTATTATTCTACAATTAAATTCCAACTTATTATTTTATTTGCATCCCCATATAAATATTTTTGCAAGTAGAGATTCGTGTATTCATATTTCTATCAACATGAATACATATTCTTTGGGTAATATCTACTATTTGTCATAATTATTAATATCTTATTTAATAAAATAATTCGTTAATTCACTAAGGAAATTTAAGTGCTTTTTTTTCCTTCTTACTGCATTTTGGTAAAAATATTGATTTTTTACCGGTAAGAATAAATTTTTTTCACTATCATTATTCTATATTAAATTCCAACTTATTATTTTACTTGCATCTCCATATGAATATTTTTGTATGTAGAGATACATATATTCATATTTCTATCAATATGAATACATACTCATATTCTTTGGGTAATATTTACTATCTGTATAATTATTATTATCTTATTTAAAAAAATTCGTTAATTTGCTCAGAAAATTTCAGTGTTTTTTTTCCCTTCTTCTTATGGCATTTTAATATAATTATTTTCCTACGTAGAGAATTCTATATATTAGGCACATTTCTGTCATATTTTATTGTTTGATTATAATTACTAAATCTGCACTAATTATTGCAATCTTGTTTAAAATAATTTGTTGAGGAAATTTAAGGGTTAATAATTTTAGTGTAGGTTTTGCATACTGTTTTTAGTTTTCGTATCTCTATGTAAATATTTTTCTATGTAGAAATTCATGAACTTATGAAATTCATTTATTATAACATCCATCATACCTCATTATTTTATTATAACTATTAATAGTGTAATAATTCTTGCAATAATCTCTTAAATAATTCGTAATAGAAATTTGAGGAGTAATAATTTCAGTGTAATTTTGCATTACGTTTATGTTTTTATTTTGCGTCTCTATATAAATATTTTTCCATGCAGAGATTCATGTATTATAAATATTTCTATCACATCTAATTGTTTGATAGTTACTACAATTTGCGTAATAATTATTAAAATCTTATTTATAATAATAAGCTACTGTTACAGAATAATCTCTTTCTGTTTAGAGATTCGTGTAATATAAATTTTTCTATCTCATCCCATTGTTTGATAACTATGTACTACAATTTGCGTAGTAATTATTAAAATCTTATTTATAATAATAAGCTACTGTTACAGAATAATCTTTTTCTGTGTAGAGATTCGTGTAATATAAATATTTCTATCTCATCTCATTGTGTGATAGCCACTACAATTTGCTTAATATTTATTAAAATCTTATTTAAAATAATATGCAATGGAAATTTCATGACATTTATTTTTCGTGAAGTCTTGGCTACCCACATAACACGACACAAGTTTGATCAGGAGAACGCGTAACATGTAAACCACTCAAAAAAGAAATTATTTGAGTTTTATTTATTCGTGAAATTTTAGCTATCTATACATAACGACACACGTTTTATTAGGACAACATGTACAATCTCATCTCAGAAAATAAATTATTTAATTTTTATTTTTTTCGAAAACTTTTAGACGACATATTACGACGCAAGTATAATTTCAGAAAATATATATACAATATATATTGAGAAACTTTAGTTACCTACATATCACGACGCATGTTTCGTCAGAAGAAAATATAACATGTATAATCTAAAAAATAAATAAAAAAAAATACATTTATTTCTAAACTTTATTTTTTTAGAAATTCCGTTGAGAAAAATTTCGTTGACCTACCTTTTTATGATCTCAAGACCTAAATTTAGGTCTGAACTCACAGATTGAAAACACCTTGCTTAAAAAATAGAAGAAACACTTCAAATATTTTGAGAAAAAAAATCAATCATAAATGACGAAAAAAAAAATTTATATCGATAAAATAAAGTTTCCAAAATGACAGCTTTTAAATTGAAATAGAAATAAAAACGTCATCATCAACTTCAAATATTTGAATAGAAATAAAAGCTTTTAAATATGAACTGGAAACGTTAAAACTGAAAAAAGTTCCTAATGAGTTCTTCTATTCAATCTGAAACTTTTTCATCCACAGTAGCTCGAATTCTTTTCATTTATTTTACTCACATTTATTTTAATCCGAGGTAAGATATTATTCCTTATTAATTTTTATTTCTGGCAATAGTTAAGTATTCACAAAAGATTTATTCTTCATTGATTTTATTCGAAGAACTTTTTCTTTTACAATTAATAATTCGACGATAATGCTTTAATTTTTTCCTTAGATAAAGCTGTTTTTAAAAATGTAAGAATCTTAAGTGCATTTTCTGTTTTATGAAATTTTAATGTTTTATTGGAAAATGGGAAATTTGTTCTCCATTAAAGGGAGCTATTTTTTTTGGAAATATTCCTCGAGTAGAGTGAATAATAAATGCTTTTGCATTTATTTTTACGTTTTGAAGTGCTATTTAAAAGAAACATTAATTGCACTTAAAAATTAAGTAAATTTTTAAAAGTCCTTTAGTGTTTTTAGAAAAATGTTTCCCTCTTTTTAAGTTATCTTTCTAACGTTGCATGTTTAATAAAATAAACATTAATTAAAACTAATTTCGGAATTTTACTTTTTGTATCTTATTAATCTTACGGTTAATTTAATTTTGTCGTAATTAGTTTGAAATTGCTTTTTAGTTATTGACATTTAAACTCGTTTTCAACGAGCGTAGTTAGTTTATATCTTTAAATTTTTTGGTTACTCATTTATGAATTATAATTTATGAAATATAAATTATGAAATATAAATTATGAAATATAAATTATGAAATATGTATGTATAACTTATTTAGCTACTCATTTATGAAATATAAATTTTTTAAATACATAATTGAAAAAGCACACTCATAAAATCCATAAAATTGTTATTTAAAAAGGAAAACTAATAATTTTAAAATGAAAATATGACTGAGTTAAAATAAAAACTATTTGTAACCTAATTTTTTCAAAACTTCAAAAATATAATCCATAGCTATACTGTTTGAAGACGTAATAATAGGTAAAAATTGAGAACTCTTCTCTGTTCATTGAAACGTATGCTATCATATTGCTATCTATTATTGGAATAAAAATATTTTGGTATTTATTGTAACAATAAATGTTCGCAATGTAAGTTAACATTTTTGAAACATTTATTCACAGTATTTGCTAAAAATGTCAGAAGTATTGTTATCCATTTTTATCATAAAACACCTTGTACCACATGCTATATTTATCAAAACATTTCCAAAACTTATCATAGTCTCGATGAGCGATATAAACAAGACAGAATGATCTAAATTTACAGTGAGTAGAAAATAAAGAGGCATCAAAATAAAATGCTCATGTTCTTATCTATTCTTTTATTAAATCCGCACAAAAAAAATCGGTGATAAAAAGTCATCTAAATCCTTAAAATAAAATTTTTGTATGATTATTAGATATCAATTAATTCCTATTTTTGGAAGTGCTTACATAATAAATAAATCGTTGTATGGCAATCTTTTATTCCAATAAACTCTCTTATCATATAATAAACATTATAAGAGTAGTTTTATACACTGTTTGCAGAAAATGTTAAACGTAAAGCTTTAAACTTTGATCATAAATCAATCTCGCTAGATGCTATAGTCACCAAAACATTCCCAAAACTTATCATTATTTAGATAAAAGATACAAACACAACAGAGACTACTGAGTTCTAATGAAAACGGAGGAGTATCAACATAAAATGCTGATACTGTTCTTAGCCGTTTTGTCACTAAATCCTCAATCAACAAAATTCTATTGCGTGTTTATTATATGTATAGAGTCTGGAAGTTCCTCAAAAGATAAAACTATACCTAAACACATTCTAAGATTATTTAGGTTATCAGACCGTATTGGCAGTTTCAGAATAATGTCTGTAAACAGAGCAAGATAAGCAACTGCTGTAGTTCTGTCTTTTATCCTCGACTATTTTTTTCCCTTGTCTCTTCTGCGAATGACATAGCGTGTCTAAGTGGCTATAATATTAACCAGAAGAAGAAAAATAGCAATAATATCAGGGTTTGAGAGTTTTACTGGAATGTAAATTTGTTTCGTGGAAAATAAAATTGCCATACTTAATTTTGGAAATTTTCTAGCCTAATTTTAGAAAAAGTAGTGGGTTTTGCTAACTTTGAAGGCAAAGGGTACATAGACCATACCTCTTTGTAGGAGGTGTGGTTTTTAATCCAATCTGTGAAAAATCGGTTAAAAGCTAAGCCATAATATTTTTACCTTATTGCTTTACCAATTTTTTAAAAAAAAATTTTTTAGTTTACTTTCAGTTATAAACTTTTAAGGAAAAATTAGCCTCCTCTACATGTTCTATTTTTTATTATTATTTCAAGGAAAAAAATTGTTAATAAAGTAACAAAAATTTAATTTTGAAAGAATAAGTGTATCGCACTTTATTATCGCACTTATATTACTATTTACGTATTAGCTTTCTTGAACTCTTAAGTGCAGTTTTTACACGTATAAAAAAAATCTAATCAAATTACCGCTCTGTATAGTAATGACATTTCTGCTTAAAATTACATAATTCTGGTTTATGAAGCAAAATATACGGTATTTGAACCATTCATTTGGTAATTTTTCCGTTATTGCGGTCTACAAGAAATTCTAGTTTTCAAAATAATAATTCTTATTACCACAAACTTAATAAAAAATGCGAAATTGAAAAGTAAACTTAACCGAATAAATGGTTTTTTATGTCATGCTCTAATATATCATGATTAAACTACCAAGTTTACCACATTTGACAAATTAATCACAATATCATAAAACCATATTATATTGTTAATTTTACCAAAATCATTACCGAAGTGCTTCAGTAAAAATTACAGAGCTTTTTGATGTTTCCATAGAGCCAGAAAAAATTATACCATATTTTGGAAGTTTTGACCATTCTTTTTTTTTTTCTCAGTGTAAAAATGTCTTGTTAACCTTGATATGCACATGAAAACAACATTTAATAAATAATA